AACTCTGAAGAGGTAAATGCCAGGACTTGACTAAGGATGATTCTCTGATAATATGGATCTTAATTGTCAAGTTCACTCATGGCAACAAAGACAAATTAAAGGACGCTATTAAGAAAGGCTGTTTAGTAGCTGGTGTGGTCTTACAGCCCTGGGTGCAGCAGTTAGTAGTGTTGAGCGTGATGGTAATTGTCCATGAAGTATCAAAGTCCCAAACATAGGGTATCCTAAATCTTCAGAGAGTATGCTACCAATTGCCACCTATAGCTCTGAACTCAGAGACAACTGCAAATGCAGTAAAGTTAGTGATGGAACCAAGCCATGCAGTGCTGCCTTTCCTCTTTGTTACTGCAACTTGTTTTGTCCTGAGCAGAAGCTAAAGCATCACATAGATGGAAACCTGTGTTAAGAAGTCCTGAAAATATAATAATGACAAGTTTTCTCATCTCTAGCAATACACAGTTGTTTGTTTACTTGCTGTAATGTCGGACAGTATGACTAAGGACTGCACCAGACTGAGTCTTGTCAAATGATCTTTGAATTCTGCCTTATACTGTTCTGCTATAGTTAGTCTGTCTCATCATCAAACCAGTAAGTGTTGGCTTATTGCCTTTGGCTACCTTAACCCACCCCTTTGTTTATATGGTGCCTACTTCTTTCTCTGTACTTAAGGAAACTCTCGCAAGAGTCTGGCATGAAAATATCCTTGATGGTTCTTGTAAGGCATCAAAGATGTTCTCAAAGAATATGGTGGAACATCAATAGACATTTTCATTCCAAAGAAAAAAGACTGGTCTTCATCATAACCTAGGTAAGAGGAGGCCCAGTGTTTAATTTCTACCTTTGTATCTCTCCAAGATCAGACCTAATCTGTCTTGACTGACTGTTGTCTTTCAGCACTTACAGTCTGCCTGGCCCTCAGAAATTAAAGTGGGGTCGAATCATTACCGGTAATGATTCTTGAGAGTCCTCGTGGTAATAAAGTTCTTAATAAATTCTTAGTAGTTGAAATTACACATCTAAATCTGTATCTGGATGTCTGCCTGATCAAGGGAAAGTCTTGCTAGGAGAAAACAATGCCTATTTGGATCATATGCCTTTCTTGTCTCAGCTGGGACAACTTAAGATATAGAAGAGCTGTCTTGCTGGACAAAATTAATGAGCTGTAATTAATTTCTTAATATCAATGCTGATTTTCTGGAGGACAAGTTCCAAGTCTTTCAGGAATATATGAAAATTCTGGATTATTACCCCTGTAAGCACACATGTGCATGACACCCTTCACCTAAAGTTGCTAACAATTTTTAATGCTAGTTTACGCCACCATGCTTTGCTTTGTACTTGCAGTATGCAAAGAGCATGGTATTGGTGATTTGCTATGTTGTTTTGCTGTAGCAGTTGATTCTCAAAGCTGTCTGAATGTGCTTGTAAGACCCGGTTTGCTTCACTGGTCCCTTTTGCAGACTGCCAGTTGGTTCCTACCCATGCTACTTAAGATCAGCTCTTAGCCTGTGCTACAGAGGAAAAAAGATGGTTTTGAGTTGTTAGGAGCAGTAGTACATAGCATAACTTCGTCTACAACTTGGCTGGCTCTGTGCATGCACACAGGAAGAGATTTCTTGCATGGGCCCTGCTAGAATGGGAAAACGGTGATCCACCACTAACAAACTGACACACATTCTGCATATTCCTGCTGATTCGGCTTTCGTTCTTCCCCAGTTGTCTGAAAACTAGGCCAAGTATCTTTGCTGCCAAACAATTTCTCTTTTTAAGGTTGGGAATGTGAAAGATTGTCAATTCAATTCTCTACCTTTTTTTAAACCTCTTTATCTCATGCAGATCTTTTAAATCAACAGACCAGAATGAGAAGATTTACTGCCTTGGTAGATTAGCTGCATTTTTGGTGTAGGTGCTCTATATTTGTGTCTGAATTCTTTTTGTTAGACTGATCATCTGGCCACTGTTAGCTGTCCTGAGTGATCAAATCTATTTAAAGATGGAAAGGTATGTTAACTCTCTAACTGTAGGAAGTACGTTGCTTATTTGTGTTTCATATTGTGGTACCTAATACGAGTGCAGAAGAAATAGCACTTGCAGAAGAGAACTTGCACTCAAAGTGTTAAACAAGGCAATAACTGGTTGTAGATAAAGCTCACAAGCAAATGAGACCATGTTGATTAGCATGAGTAAAATGAATTTGCAGTGTCCTAGCAACCTGGCTTGTGTTCATAAAAGAGATTTTTAAGGAGGAAACTGAAAGGAATTCATATTTCACCTATTTACAATTGAAATCATTGAATCTGAGCAAATGTAAGAGGGAGAGTCAAGGTTTTTGGTTTGAAAATCTGACAGATGGGCTAGGGAGACTCCTAGAAGTTACAAGTGAGCCTGTTGATACTGACCAAGATAAGGAGAACTGAAACAGATGCTGGAGAGGTACATGATTCTTAAAATTAATTTTCACAATTTTGGGTTGCAGGATTATTATCCCAAGCAGTTATCACAAGGAAATGGGAGGGGAGCGGAGGATGTAACTAAGGAATCAAGGACTTGCAAGAAATCCAGCTCTTTCATTGTCCTTCTCTGTGGTCTATTGTCATGGTAATTTACCTTACTTAGCCTACATCTGACAAAAGAACAGGGTCATGGATACAAAAGTTCTGTGTAGGTACTAATTATTTTGTTAGAACTTAATACAAATCAAGGTAATTAGATTTAAATAACCTCTTGCTGGGAAAGTGTGTACAACCCAAGTGTGATATCTGCCTGTCTGTCCTGCTATTGAGCTCGTTCAGACAGAATATGATCTACCTTGAGCAACAAGTAAATCTGCTGTTCACATTGTGGTTATGGAAGGAGGCAAAAAAACCCCAAACCCTTTCTTGTTTCAAAGCTGTACTTTACCTTTACAACTTCACTGTGTATCTATATATTACTGCATTTAAATTTAAAATTAGATTTTATTATTCTGCCAGCTCTTTAGGCACAGTGGGTACATGCTAGAAGAAGAAAGTTATTCTAGGAGGCTTTTCATTCTTGCAATCAATGAGTGACTTGTTAGAAATTTCTCTTAGCAGTTCTTCATCTGCTAGAAAGAAGGGAAAAAGTTAAGCTTCCTACAAGAAGAGGCAGAAAGGAAGCCTTCTGTACCTTTGTTTCTTCTGGTGGCTCTGTTCTACACTGAAGTGCGGCTCTCAAAATACATGTGCTTTTGCTCAAATGAAGAGAATACCAACTCTAGGCCTCAAACTTCTCCTTCCCCTGCAATTGGGAAAATAGAGCATTCAGTAATATTAGAAAGGATTTTTGTAAAAGAAGCAAGAACGAAGAGCTTAACCATAAGTCTAGTTCATTCACAACTTGAGTTGGCCCACAAAAATCTTTAATGAAGTAGTATTTTGTGAATTCTGAAGCCTTGAAGAAAGGGTAGCTGATTTTTTTTTTTAATTGTCAGAGAACAGAGAGTTTGTTTAACTTCAATAAAAGTAAATGCAGTATTTTAACATTTAGATTTGTATTACTTATTATGCAGAAGGGTTCAAGTAACCCTTTTGGCTTTTATTTCACGGGAAGTCCCATTTTGATTATTGGAGGAAAGTATGAGAATGAAAGTAAGATGTTTTTTACTACCCCCCCCCCCCCCCCAAAAGCTGTGTTAGCTTGAGACTGATATTTGAGTCTTTTCATGAACTGCTAAAAATGGCCCTGAAGATGATTTTTATATGTACTGTAATTTTTGCAATGCTTTTGCCTTTTATAGGTTTTGTTATGATCCACAATTATTTGGCTGTGGGGTGGTTGTTTTGTTTGGGTTTTTTTGTTTTGGTTTTTTTTTGCATTGCACACACACATTACATAGAAAGGGAAAAAAAACCCTCTTGTTTTCTAAGAACCTGTGTCTGTAATGACATTAAAAACAGAGTAGCTCCATAATGATGGATTGGTGGCTTGATGCCTTCTGCTGTGAATTCATCGGACTAGTGGTAAGACAAATATTTTTTTCTTCATGGCCCTTTACAATGTGGCTGAAAATAATTTCAAAGGCTTATGGCTGTGTTAGTTATGGAGGTTTAGTGGCCTATTATATTATGTTGCTTGATGTTACATTGCTGGCGCAACTTGTGTGATCACTTTACATTAAGATAAAGAGGATAATGAGGTGCTGCTAAAACCGAGTGGATACTTCTGGCCTCTGGTTCACACTCATTTCACAGTGGTGTGACAGTACAGCTTTCTGAGTAAAGAGTAATATATGCCTTATACCAAAGCATTCTTGAGTTCTGCTGCAAGTTTTTTGAAAGTTCTTGTGTGTAGACTCCTTTACCACTGAAACATAGTAGAAACTTTGGCAGCTTAACTAAAAAACCAGTTTGATAATGATGGGGGAGGGAATCTATAACATAGTGCTGTATATGAAGTCTTGAATTGGACATGTTATTACTGATTATCAATTTTTTTTTTTAAATTGTGACTTTAAAAACAAAAAAATCTGTGTACCTAGAGCTTCTACTCCTACCACATTTACATGAAGGGTATATCCAGCCTGTGTGTGTATCTGGATTTAAAAAAAAAAGTCCTCTAAGCAGTTCAAGAAAAAAGATGCTATTACTGGCTTGCTGAGAGAGGATTAATTAGGAAATGTCTTCCCTTATCTGGATTTCTAGAAGTTACAGTGGTTCACTTCCTCTTAGCAGAGAATTATTATACAGAATGACACTAGGCACTATATTAAATAATTATGTTATTATCTGTTTGTTCTCTGGGGCTTGGTATTTTGGTTAAATTTGAAGTTATTTGCTAGACAGCTGTTCACTTGTGAGGCGAAGGGATCAGCTTGAAATAACTTGTAATGGAGTGTGGTATGTTTGAATAACTAAAAGTCAGGGAGAATCTTGAAATTCGGGAGATCTCCAGGAGGATCTTTTTTGCATAAATACTAGCTTCACTCTGCATACCTTTTATATTCCTTCCCTGCCTCCCCCCCCCCCCCCCCCTTTTCCCAGTACTGATACTCGAAAAGGTGGAAAATGGAGATCTGAGCAACAAGATATTGAAGATCACGGATTTCGGCTTGGCCAGGGAATGGCATAAAACTACCAAAATGAGCGCAGCTGGGACATATGCCTGGATGGCTCCTGAGGTCATCCGCTCCTCCATGTTCTCCAAAGGCAGCGATGTGTGGAGGTATTGATTTGGCATTAAGTGATTGGATACTGAAGAGTAACTAGACCTGCCAGGAAACCTCTTTTATGTTTAAGAATGAGTAATGGTGATCTGAATATTAGAATCCAAGTCTTAAGAAAACTTTATCCACCAGCTTTCCATCTGTCAGACTCTCAGACTACTTTGTATTAATTGTAAACTTTTTTTTCACTGTAGAAAGTGGTGGACCAGCTCCTGCATGCCTCTAAATTTTTGTTGTTCTGTAAACTTACATTCAGATTATCCTAAGATTCATAATCCTAATTCCCTCTGTTTTATCTAAAACAACCTTTTTGTGCTTACTTGGCTATTGGCTGACATAATCAAAGGCCATAAAACAATCTGTAAATTACTTAAAATTACTACTTTTTTACTGTTTTATCAACAGTAAGATCATTTTATGTTTTGGTAGTAATCTGTCACTGATCTATGTGTACACAAACACACTGTACCAAATCGAATTCCCTGTGCAGTTTCAGCCTGAATACAATGTTTTTCAGTTTCATAATAATCTTATTTCCACCCTTCTAGTCTTTCACATGAAATAATAAATCTCTTCTCTAGGTCCATCTGAGTATGTAATCCATAAGTAGTAATTTGCAAGTATATATTGTTTTTTCCATTCATGCACTGGGATTTTTGAGAATAGGAGCTGCTTTGGTGGGCAGGAGTGTAAGGGTCAGCCCGTAGACTTCTAGAAATTGAGTATGAATAAGACCATTAAGTGAATTGGTAAATCCAGAATTTAGTAAGTACCTCTAGGACTGTGACTTTTCTGGATGCTGTGTGACATAGATGTAGTACTGAACATATGAAACAGATGAAGTATATGGAATTTTGTTTTTCCTGTGGGGAGAGAGGTATTGAAATGTCAGGGTGACTTTGTCTTTACAGGAGTAAGATTCTGTCGCTGGCCAGTAATGCTCCCACACAAATGTGTGCGTGCTGTGAAATCTGTCAAGATAAAGAAATATCCCAGCTGGTAGAATTGTCTGGCTGTTATAGCAGAGACTTGGTGTGTGGATTGTCATTTTCCTTGTCCAGTTTTGCTGAATAGATAATGTATTGCCTTGTGATAAATCTGTGAACTTGTATTTTGCACACTAATGGTGTGGATAAAATTCTGACTCTAATTAAATGTGATAGCCTCTGTAGTTAATCTGAGATGAATTGAGCAAGAACCAGGCTTTTATTCTGAGTGAAGTCTGGCAGAAATTAAAACCTCAAGGCTGTGCACCTTTTCTGTGCACATGATGACAGTTCTGGTTTGTACACAGCTTGTCAAGCTCAAACCTCAATTTGCTCTTCTCTGAAACAGTGCCCGGAATGGCCTTTAAGGGTAACCTGGGGGAGAGGGAGAAGGGAAGGGGGAAACAGTTTCCCTGTGATTTACTAATCTAGGCACACTGTGAACAGATCAGTAGATGTTCTGTACCAGTATGACCTCATTTTTAAAAAGATAAGACTGAATAGGTCAGTTGGTGATTTTCATGAAGGTAGCTCAAGTAAGTGCCTCTCTACCTGGGCAAAAATACCAGTTCGGTTATTGACTTAGGGACTGTGAATCACTTGGGACTTAAGGATTGTAAATAAATTATTTGTTAGTTTTTCAGAAGACTGTATTTCTATTTTTAAGATTCCTTCATCACTTTCTCTTTTATAGTTACCAGTCTTCCCTTGAAAACAGGTTAAGTTCCTCTCAGTGCTCTTCCTTAAACAGAGGGTCATCACCATTAAGAGAGCTGTTATCCTGTTTCTTAATAAGCCTTCTCTCTCTGGTGGCCAAAACCCTGAGTCACAGTTAAAAAAGCTGAAAAGAACATGGTGTTTGAGGCATGTATGCAGAGGACAAATACTTGCCAGTGCGGTTGCTACTAGTGTGTCAGTGGTTGTAAGCACTGGGTTTTACAAAAACAGTCATGGACATGTGTAATAAATCCTGTCCCCACCCAAGGATGCAACTTGAAATTCTTAACAGGATGAACTTTTTTATCCTATTAGTCTTGCCCCTCCTCTTGTGCACTTCAACCTCTTGGTTAATCACTGGAGTCGAGGGAGCTTTTTGCCTGACAACTTTCCAGTTAGTCTGTGTGGCATCCACAAAATTGGCTGTGTCTGTCTCTAACATTCACAAACCCTTTTATTTCAACACCTTTTCTTTAAAGCTTATTAGAATAATACTGCTGGCTGAATTGTTGCCTAGCCTTTTAACAAGAATCTTGTTCTGCTTGTGTTCTTGCTGCACAAACAGGTGTAGATGATGCTTGCCAGGACTGAAATTTCCCGAGTCAGTCTTATCTCATCATAAATAACTGCTTCATGCAATTCCTTTCAAAACATATATTAAGCTCCATTTAAAAAACTTGATCTGTGGTGGGTTTTTTGTTTGGTTGGTTTTGGTTTTGTTTTTGGGGTTTTTTTTGTCCCACTCTAAAGGAGTGTTGGCAAAGAACTTACAAGGCTGAGGAATGCTCCCACATGCTGGTGTCTATCACCAGGGTCTGGGCCACTGTAAAGCGTGTTGATAATAACAGTATTTAGTATATCTTGCTAGTGAAAATTTGTTGCTATGATTTTTGCTGTGCTGCACCTGCAAGCTTTAGATATACAGCAGAAACCTTGTGCTTATATTGCACTGAGGACAAAGAAGCTACGGTTTTATTTAAATATGTCAGCTCCTGTAAATCTCTTTATGTGTTTGAGAGGGGAGTTGCGTATTTGCTTTGGATTTACAGGGGTGAAGCTGAAGCACAGATATTGCAGCTTATCCAGTGCTGTACAGCAAGCTAATGTTAGTAGGCATATAATTCAAATTTCCCTATCATTTTAACTGCTTAAATGTATTTCTTGTTTGCTGCACACTTCATTTTTGACTTGTGCTTCTTAAAAGACAATCATATTGTCAATATGATTGGTGTGCCTAATATAAAGCCACCATACAACCTTCATCTGAGTTGCCTGTGTTCCTCAATTTAGATGCTTTTAAGATGTATCTACTCTGAGACCAGTGAAATAATTAGGAATTTAATTTTCATTTAGGAGTGGAATACAAGAACTACCTGAAACCATCTGATTAGCAGATCAGGATGTTTCAGGCGTTCTGTGGTGGATGTAGGAACTTCAGTCATTAGAATATTTCATTTGAATCAAGTGTTGGTAAGCACTTCATCCACAACTGACTGCTTGCAGGCTTCTGTAGTCACCTGTGTGTAATGAAGCACTGGCAAGACATCAGTACCTGGCAGATAAGTGTTGACTAGTAATACTGGTAGAAGCTCATGTGGGAGAAATGTACACAACTGACTGTGAAATCAGCAGGAAATGTCATCTCTGGAACTTCCAGTCCGATAACATGCAAAATGCTGACTGTTAATAGCCATTAAAATGTAATGAAGTTTTCTTTCTCAACAAAAGTAATATTCTAGTATCTGTTGTTGCTGCAGTCTCCTTGTTGGGCTGATAGTTCCTTTGTTAAGGAAAGTGCTGAACCTAGGGAGGTGGATAAGAGGAACCTATGGTACAAATGTCTTTGAACAATAACAGTGAGAAGAAATTACTGTTTTTTTCTAAGTTCACAGACTTTAACAAGGGAGTGGCAAAATCACATGTGAAATCATGCAGACCTCCAGCTTCCCTCTCCCTGAAAATCCAGTGTGGAGGATTGAACCTGATGTTAAATGGCTTAAGGGATTACTGGATCACTGGGAGATGGTTAATTATTCATAAAAGTGTCAGTTGACTTGGTTACATGGTCTGTATCACATGATTCATTTTGCAATTAAAGTCCAAAAATTAATACTGGGTGCTGGAAAAATAAATGAACTTGATCAGTTTTTCTTCTTCCCTGTGGAGAATGAGGAGAGGCCCTTGATTCTTTCTTCCTAGACCTTTTTTGTATAAATCTCTTCTGTCTCTGGCTTTTTCCTTTGTAATTCTCAATCCCCTGCTTGAGAGTTAATGGAAAACACTCTGTTCAGCACCTGTCTTGCTGTTTAATCACTTGAGATGATTGTTGTTCAAATGACACAAAGCAGTGTTTCCCTAGTTCTGTGGAAGCTGTATTCTCAGCAATGAACTGTAAGTATGTGAGGAAGAGGTGGCATTCAGTTTTGTCAGAAACCAAGTGACCTTTCCTGCAGTATATACTTCTAGTGTCACATTAGAAGACACACCAATCTGTCCATTTTGTTTTAAAAACTACGCTGCAGAAGAAATGCTTTGAGGACATCAATAGTGCTTTCCTAACCATTCAATTAAGAGAAATATGTAATACATGCTTTATCCAGCACTAGTGGTAAAGTAATAACACAACTCTTTGGTAGTTTTTCCTACCTTTTGATATCAACACTCACATCCAAACTGAAGACTAACATGAATGATCAATCAGATTTAGATAAACCAAATATATATTCAGTCCAGGATTCATTTTCTTTGAGTGTCTTCTGAATCCTAGGAGGCCAAAAAGAAAATGGGAAATCCTTAAACTCCTGTTCATTTTTTTCAAGTGAGGCTCCTGAGACAGTAAGAAATTGAGAACCTTGATGGGAAGAAATAATTATAATTATCGTTATAATATTGAGAGTATGAATTGCATAGGAAAAATGCGAAAGATTGTATAGGTGAAAAAAAAATATTTTGCTTAATAAAGTAAACTAGCTGTGTTAGCAGCAAAGGTGGAATCTCTAGTGACTGAAATTCCATATCTGAATAGAAAAAGTAGTATTAAGACTGTCCAACTAAGGTGGCAGCAGTTACGATGGATGTTAAAGACTTGGCAGGGTGGGGGAGAGATTGCAAGAGTACAGGTTGTGATATAAAAATTTTGATTACTCCCAAATTGATAGGGCAATTGTTGCTTTGAAACAAGGAGAGATTAATCTTTTAGCTTCAGAAACGACTGTTTCATGGAGCAGCTGTTCAGGGAGCTTTTAAGCAGACAAGCAGTTTTTCATTTGGTCTTCAGGTGTGCTTAGGAGCCCTTCAAAAGTGGTCAAAATATATGTATGCTTAGATTCAATATCTTTGCAAGAGCAGTTAAGAAAAATTAGTCCATTACAGTAGTGTTTAATCTCAGAGAGATTAATGACAACACTGAGGAATTTTGTGTGAAAACAAAAGGGGAATGTGCAACGTGGATATCTTTTAAGGACACTAGGTTAAAGCTCAGAGCGAATGCATAAGAAAGACTTTAAATGAATGAAGAAGATGATGTAGAAAAGACTACCGGAAGACATCCTTCAAAAAGTTGAACCTCTATTCAAATGAGGGAAAATCAGGCATGGACTTAAGTGCTGGCAAGTTCAATGTAAAACACTCAAGGAGATTAAAAGGGTTTTGAGGAGAGTCTTGCGAAAAGCATGAAACCAGATAAATGGCTTTCAAATGCAGCACAGGTGAGAACCCTGCAGGAGAACTTACAGCCCAGAGGTAACCAAGATGTAAGAGTGCAAAGATAAGGCTATAGCAGAAAAACCTTAGTAAGTGACTTGTGTCTGCTAGAAAGGAGCAAAGAGAGGCTTTTTAAGCTGAAAATTTCTCTTTAAGGGAGCTGGTCTGGAGGACATCTCATACTGAAGCACTGTCCACAGAGGTGTTAAAACTGATTGATAAAATGAACAGTAACAAATTGCTGGGATTTACAGTAACACCCAAGATTTCTACAGGAATATGAGGGCGCCAGCTGAGTTAATAGCTGTGCTGTGTAATCTGTTGCTTAAAGCTGCCCTAATGCCACAAAAATGGAAGGCAGCAAGCATGATGACAGGTCTTATAAGAGCTTCCTAAGGATCAGTAAGTCTGATTTTTCAGTTCTACTAAATGGTAGAAAGAGCACTAAAGAGTAGGGAGGTGGTGGAGTATGAGCATGTCTGGGGAAGAGTCTGCTTTTGTAGAAGGAAGTCATATCTTGTGGAAAAAATGAAAATTCTTTAAGGAGTTACTGAGTACATGGGCAAGTGGTAAGATTGCTTATACCGCATTTGGATTTATAAAAACTTTCAACAAAATCTTTCGTCAAAAGCTTTTTTTGATGTGGGAAAAGAGGGCAAGTCTGTTTCCCATAGCTTAGTCAACTCTTAATTACTAAAGGAATAAATCAGTTTTCGTGGTGGGGAATTCTGTGTTCAACATAATCATAACTGATTTGAAAAAGCAATAAATGGTTAGGTAACATTTGTTGCTGATACCAGATTATTCAGGATAAGAAAAATTAATCTACTGCAGAGACCTGAGGAAAAGTTTTACTACACGGAATGATAAAATAGATGAAATAGTAATAAATACAAAGTAGTACCCATGGAAGAATTTCACATGTACAATGATGGGCTCTAGATTTTACTATTATGATTCAGTAAAAAGATATTGGAGTTAGTGTGGGTAACCTAGCTCATTTTGTAAGGAGTCAGAAAGGCAAGTAGCAAATTAAAATTTAATAGGAAAGAAATAAAGATAACGGGGAAATACTGTGCCTCTCCTCATATCTTTAAAACTTTATGTGATTTTGGTCATTTCAGCAGAAAATGTCAAGGTCAATGAAAGATATGAAATGATTTCTGTTCAGGACAGTAACTAGATTAGGATTTAGCTAGATTAGGATTTGAGGGGCTGGAAAGAAGATGATTTAGGCAGGATGTAGTGGGAGCCTGTGAAATCATGGATGGCATGGAAGGAGCTAACAGGGAACATATGTTCACTCTTCCTTGTATTGAAAGAACTACAGGGAAGCAAATGAAATTACCAAGTGACGAGCTCAAAACAAACACACACAAGAATTTTTTGGCAATGCATGATTAAATTTGTGGAGCTCACTACCACAGACCATAGTGCACGGTAAATGGGTTCAGAAGAGAATAAGACAGAACAATGGAAGAAAAAAACCTGTCAGGTCACTAAGTATGAAGAAGCTGTCTCTGGCTCAGGTTTTCTAGAAGCAGAGAGAATATTCTGAGGATATGTTGTTTGTTGTATGCCTGGAGGGAGAACAGTCCTGGAACTACTGCCATAACTTCAGAGTTAATTATTTTATAGAACATCTTAAAACCAACTTAATTCCAAAGATGTATTTTTCACTTATTTTTAAAAATCACAACCCTTCACATTTTTGAGAGTTTCACTGGGTTCTGGTTTGAACTTTACTAAATTAGTTAGAAGATTTATATTAATGTTTTTCAGATTGTTCCCAGTTTACAGAGGGAAAATGATCTTTGGCTAAAAGGTGAAAATGGGATCTTACTTCAGTCATATTTTAAAAAAGCAGGTGAAGTAAGGCACTTCACCGGCTTGACAGCCATGATGAGCCTGTCCAGAAAACTGTAACTTCTTCAGTGTACCAGGCTCACCCTGATAGGTTCAGGTACTTTCTTGTTGCTTAACAAAGAATGTGTTAAAGTCAAACACCTATTCTCGTTTCTGTTTTCTTCCTGGTAGTTACGGCGTGCTGCTTTGGGAACTGCTAACAGGAGAAGTACCATTCCGAGGAATTGATGGTCTTGCCGTAGCATATGGTGTTGCCATGAATAAACTTGCCCTTCCAATCCCTTCCACGTGTCCAGAGCCTTTTGCCAAACTCATGGAAGGTAAGCCAGCTGTGGTGTGAGTATGGTTTATGCTGTTTCTAGAGTGCTGTTGAGCATTGCTTCCTTGTGTTGGTTTTGATTCCTAAGAGCACAGATTTCTCAAGTGGCTTTATTCAATGGTGCAAGTTATTATGGGAGCTAGGCTTGGCTGTTAGTGTGCTGTGACAGTTACTCTATGACAAGAGTAGTATGTGAAAGAAGTTTCCCTGCCGCTATTTGTCAACTGGCTTTATAGGAAAATGGGAGTTATTGCTGTCATCATCTAGCTGCTTGTGTTCTAGTAGTGAAGACTCACCAACACCAAAACTTCACCTATTTTGATCTAGTTTGAAGTCTTCAACTTGTTTTGAAATTCATAGCTTGAACATCTTGCTAGGCAGTGGCAGATTGATTTGGAATGAAACTTCATCCTACTGACATTTCAGGGAGAGGGCTTAAATGTGGCTTTGACATTTGAAAACAGCCCAAATTTTCAGTCAGAATGATGTGATTTTTCTGCTTTGTGTGTGCAGTTAGTTCATGCCCAAGGTGGGCTATATATGGATGAAAGAAATTTGGGAGTTTGTCATCAGAGCTGCTGTGGTTATTAAAAATGATTCCATGAGGTAGCTGTTGGGGTGTACCTATGTGACCTGCTCTGCTGGCTATTGCAACTACTTACATACCTCCTGAGCTTCAGTTGTTCCTTCCTCCCTCCTTCCTTCCCTCTCTCGCAGTAGTACCTTTAGGGTTTTTTTCAGTGCCCCTATTCCCAAGGATTTCCAGGTGTTTATATGTAATAAACATTTTTACACCTATCTGGCAGAAAGAAAAACTGAGGTAAAGAGAAATCAAACGTGTTTTATAGTCTTAGTGAGCAAAGAATGAGTCTGAATGTAGAACTGTGATTCTGTGGCCTCTGGTGGTGTTTTTAGCCCCAAGAAAGGGACTTGATTCATGCAAGAAAATGTTTCTGATGGATTACTCTGTTTTTAGAGTACTTTTGCATTTCTCTGGTCTTTTCTATAGGTTACAGGCTTCAGTTAAGTTAAAGTAGAAAAATTCACGTATTGCTGTGCTAAAAAATAAATATACTACTGGATAGTAAACAGCAGCAGAATTGCAGGTACAGTAGCTTGGAAGCAGTTAAAGCAAGAAACTGCATCTGAAAGAGTTAATGGAACTACCAGCTCAGTGTTGTGCCAGGGGAGTTTATTTTGACATGGCTCCCTAAAACAAGGACCCTGGATTTCTTAAATATAACTGAGGTATCTGCTGCTGGGGTTAAAAATAAGGCCCTCTACTGGGAAAGTCAGGTAGAGGCATATGGCCTGCGCTTGAACCCAGCAGCACAGGGGTGAGCACCCACATGGCTTTGGAACGCTTGGCTTCTCCATGTGCAGGGGGAAGAAGAGAACAAGAAAACAATTACTTTCTGCTCCTTCACCAAAACTGTTTTTCAAATAGGCTGTTTCCCGTCTCGGGTGAACTCTTGTTCCCCTAATGCTGCTTTTACTTTTGAATTACTGCCCTGGTGGTCTTCACTGAGACAACAAAGCTGAACTTTCCCTCTTCACAGAAAAGACTTGTATGTTACAACTGTCCTCATTAGTGCAAATAATGGCAGATCTAGGCCTGGGAAAAGAAAAGCCATGGGCCACCTGCATAGTTACCCTGTTCACTCATTCATGCATTTGGCTGGCTGCAGTATTTTGTTTTACTTTGGGTCATGTTTGCTTTGCCATGCTTCAAACCTGGGGTAAGGAGGCAGGGTTTATGGCACTGACAGTCCAGCTGTATCACCCGTTGCTACTAATTGGTCAGCAGCAGGGGACCTTCAGAGCACTCTTTAACATCCTCAGTCCTCTATTTTGATAAGAGAAGCAATTTGAAATCCATAAACACAAATGTGTTCCAGCTTATGCTTCTTGGAACCTGGTCAGATGCTTAAATACCAGCATCTTGATACTAGCAGTTTTGAAACCAAAGCTCCCAAATGCAAAATCTCAGTAACGCTAAAATCAAAAGACCTGCAACACCAAGCCTCAGCAGCTGCACAGATTTTGTGAAGAGTTACTTATTTTTAATTAATTACAGCTGCTCCTTGGTGTATTTCAATCCACAAAACTGATGAATTAATGTCTTTCAGGACATCACCAACATTTTTTTAAGAATGTTTATTTTTTTTTTTTCAACTGTAAGGTCTAGGAAGCTTTAGAACATTTTTGTAACTTGCCTTGTGCCACAGTAATGTGTGTCTTGAATCCAGCGGCCGTTTAGAGCAACGATAGTATGAGTGTATCAAGAAAGACCAATGTGTTAGTTTCTTCCATTCATGCACAAAAGCTGTATTCCCTAGAAATATACTTGAATGCTAAGTTTTTCTGTTTGGTTCATCTCAAACTTTGGCATGGGGGAGTCTAGCAGTACTAAAGAGAATAAGGATGCTTGTTGAACAAGAACCTGTGTAAGTGCCAGTACGGGACAATATAGAGTGAGAAAGTGATGTTTTCTGCAAGAGTAGAAATAAGGGTCAAGTAAGACGGAGGACTGAACAAGTAAGAATTTCTATTCAAGTGTTAATTCACACATTTTGACTTAATGGCTTCTTAAAAACATGTTCTTAATGATTTCATAGCTTGAGATGTTACTTCATGCCATTTTTCTATTTACGTTTGTTTTCAGTGTTCAATTCCAATCACTGTAAAATGAGTACCTTTTTGTACTATTGCTAGTTTAATTGCCTCATGTGGTAAGATGCGTACCTTAAATTCTGCGTTTTTAGAACTCTGCAATTGGATAAGTCATTGCATTAGATTGTAAATGAAAAAGCTTGTTTATCTGTGGTTTCTCTTAAAAGCAAAAGAAAAAAACCTGATCAAACAATTTTCTCTCAAATAAAAAAGAATCCTTAAAAATAAGAAAACTCCAAATGCACTATTTGATGTCATTATTTACTTGAACCTCCTGTTTTCACTCAAGTTATGCCCAGTCTGCTTTGCAGGAGGGATTTTCAGCTCTGTGGAAGAGATTCATAATGACTCAGTTTAGCATTAGAGTTTGACATTAGAAAGAACTCTGATAGATACCCTTCTGCAGTATGGCTGTTAAGTCTGCAGTGTAAGTGTGATAAAAGAACTGTTGGCGAGAGTCTTGCATAGTATCTCCACTCTGTGAGCACATACAACTTAAAGCAAAATATTTAAGTAAATTATTGATGATTTTTAATATATGCCTGAAAATGTAACCTTCTGTAAAATTAGTAAACCTCTTTTTTACTTGGCATATTATTTATGAGAACCTAGAGACCAGGTAGTTCAAGATCTTAAGTGATGTTGGATATTGTATAAGCATGAAAGCATGAATTTCATACTTGACTTATGATCAGACAATAGTCAATGCAAGTGGGAAATGGGAAAGATGGGGTAACACAGATAGTGTGCATGCCACTCTTAGCCACTGGGGATCAGTAAAGTACTACTCATCCTCTCAAACCTCCATGCTAAGAGATGCTTAACAGTTGCTTGTCTTTGTCCTATTCTAGATTGCTGGAACCCTGACCCACACTCACGACCTTCCTTTGCCAGTATCCTAGACCATCTCACCGCCATAGAAGAGTCTGGTTTCTTTGAAATGCCCAAAGATTCCTTCCACTCCTTGCAGGAAGACTGGAAACAAGAGATCCAAGAGATGTTTGATCAGCTCAGAGCCAAAGAAAAGGTAAGTAGAGAAAAACACTCCATGCTCATGCTCTCTGGATTTATAATTTTCCCATTTTGTAATTCAAAGAGGGATCATCGTTTATGGCATCCCAGAGCTAATTTTGTCTATGCTTTACTGGAGCTTGTAATAAGTCCCTGAATCAATGGCAGGTTATGATGCACACAAGGGCAGAATCGTGAGTAAAATAAATATCTGCATCCTGAGCTGCTACTCTTTCTAATATTGTAGTGAGCTTTCATTATACACTGTGCAAACTGCTATGAAGAATTGTCTTCATTGTTTAGTGCGTCTGATAACTATTTCACTGTTAGCATCTTAATTGAGAAGCCCAATGATAACTGTTAACAGTAAAAGTAGGAGGGGTAGTTTCAGCATATATACTCTAGCAAACATTGCAGCTTTGGTTCTGTCAGGTTTGTGTTTTCCAGGTTTTGAGCACAGCTAAAGTGGATAGACTGTAATAAACAGGAGTGCTACCAGGGGAGTGGTCCAATAACTGTTATAATTGAAGTCCATCTGGGTAAACAGCAGGAAACAAAAATGCTAGCAGGAATAAAAGGAATTGTGACTGTCAGCCTCAAAGAGTAGAAGTGAAAAAGCTGAAGTTTTCTTCAAGCATGCTTGCAGAAAGCACAGCCTGCTGCATCTATGTTAAGGTCCTTATAGAGACTGTCTTTACAGTCGTTGGTATGAAATACTACAGTGGAATCACTGAAGTAATAATATTTTTCTAAGTACATGGTCTCTTGCCTAAAAATAAATTCATAATAAGTAGCCAACTTGATTTGGACTTGGAAGTTGGGTGTAGGAGGTGGAGAAAAAGAAAAGGGGACCTTGGGACAGGGGAGAGAAGTCCTACAACAGTACCTAAAACATTTCTATTCACGTATAGTAGCTTTGGGGAAAAATAAAAGAGCTAGTAGGCATTTCCCTGCTGCTGTTGCATAGCATGCAACATAGCATGTTCACATGGCATAACAGTGTTGGAACAGTTTTTGAAAACCAGAAACTTCAACAGACAAACAGAAGACCAAACAGTAGTAGCTAGACTGTGCTCAGGTTGAGTACTGTATTTCTGTGTAGTAATGGAGAAAGAGAATTTTATATCCTATTCACCTCATGAGTAAAATGTACCAAACCTCCACAGTAATGGGAGAGGTAACAACAACATTAAAAAAAAATTAAAAAAATAAACTAATGTCTATCTGATAATTCATCTAAAGTTTAACTTGAATTCTTCAGTTTTTACCTTCTGCAGTGGAATTAGCCAGCTGGAGATAATTATTCTGAGTGCTGAATTCTTTTGTCCTTGTGGTGAGAAGACATTTTGAGATCTCAAGGACAATTTCAGTTGATTCATTTTGTCAAAAAGGGAAAGATTGAGAAGTTTGCCTTACGCATCTTTATGCATAAGGAGCAGCCATGCTTGGTGGAAAATGATGGGAATGACCTCCTGATGATGTTTTCTTCATTCATTTTTATGTTAGAGCTGTTTTTTGCTGTTTTATGATGCATGAGATGGCAAGGTTATTTTTAAACAGTTTAAGTCAATGCTGAGGTTAACGTAAGTACTTACGGAACAGGCAAGCAAGGATTAATTCTTTTCAGTGTTATGAATAAATCTTCCAAAATGGGTTCCCATGTGCATGGTACTCTCCAGTGGCTCTCGTAAACATGTTCATGTCAGATACGCAGCATATTTTCTCATGATGCTGAATTTAGGATTCAGTGCCTTTTCACAGAATTACAGAATGATTGAAGTTGGAGGGACCTCTGGAGGTCATGTGGTCCAACTCCCCTGCTCAAGCTGGGCCACCTAGAGCTAGTTGCCCAGGACCTTATCCAGCGGGCTTTTGACTCCACATCTCTGGGCAACCTGTGCCAGTGCTCAGTGACACTCGCAGTAAAAAACGTGTTCAGAGGGAACCTCTGGTGTTTCAGCGTGTGCCTATTGCCTCTTGTCCTGTCACTGGGCATCACTGAGAAGAGCCAGGCTCTATCTTTGTTGCATCCTTCCTTCAGGTTTTTATATAGACTGGTAAGATCCCCTTTCTCCCCACCCAAGCCTTCTCTTTGCTAGGATAAACAGTCCCATCTTTCTCAGCCCTTCCTCACAGGAGAGATGCTCCAGACTCTTAATCATCTTCATGGCCCTTTGTTGGACCAGTATGTCCATGTCTGTCTTGTACTGGAGAGCCCAGAACTGGACGCAGGATTCCAGGTGTGGCCTCCCAAGTGCTGATGTCCAAATTTTAATAGAGATATGAAGGGCCTTGAATGGCAAGCATAGAAGTTACTGATGATTGTTAAAGGTTTTGGCTTTCAGCTGAGCCTTTAAATAGGGGCTGTGAGCACAAGTCATTGCTGCTGTACCTTCAGAATAGGTAATGTTAGGCTTAACCCACAGGCCACAAGGTAGCCTTTCATTTCTCCTTTCTTATCTCCCTGCAGGAGCTGCGCACATGGGAAGAAGAGCTGACCCGTGCTGCTGTTGAACAGAAGAACCATGAGGAGTTGCTACGAAGGCGGGAACAGGAGCTGGCAGAACGTGAGATTGACATCCTGGAAAGGGAGCTCAACATCATCATCCACCAGCTGTGTCAGGAGAAGCCTCGGGTGAAGAAACGCATGGGGAAGTTCAAGAGGAGTCGGCTCAAGTTAAAAGATGGCAATCATATCAGCCTGCCTTCAGGTTGGTGACATGTTAGGCTGTGTCAGGTGAAATGGGAGGAACAGGTGAACCTGTAGCTTTTGTAGCAACTTTCTGCTGATACTTAAGCTTTAGTATTGGATGCACTTTGGGAAAAACATGCCTCTTTGGGATCAAGCAACTAAATTTGATGCTCTTGTGGCTAGCATTCCCCAAGGTTCCAAGTATGAAGGCCAGAAGTAAATTTGAGATGTTACATGTTTGTTAGTCAATGGGTATATATGGTTCACAGTGAAAATGTTGATGTTGCAGTTTAACACACTAATACTCAAAATGATGATCAGTTTAATAAAGGATGTACATAAAAAATGATGGAGGTTCTTGCTCTGGGAATATTTTACATAATGCTGCAGCAGAAACCATAGTCTACTGGATTTCTTGGTGCAGGAATCTAAAAATTACCAAAATACATTGCTAGCTGTGAGACTACAGTCCTACATTGCTAGTTCATATGTGAACTCCTATTACACACAAGTTAACTCTAATACCACCCTTCTGGAAGAAATGTTAAGTATTGGTGAGGTGTCAGGGAAGTCACTCCTAAGAGTGAAGATAGTAATTTTCAGAAATACTGAATCCTTAGCACTTCTGCTGTGGATTCTGTGTGGAGAATCAAATTTGTAAAAGAACAGAAGTGTGGATTTTGTAAATCACCTAAGGCTCATCATTACCTCAAGGTTGATGGCTTACACTATATTCTTTGTTTTCTGAGAGAGATTGGCTGTTTAGAAGAACAATGATGATAAAATGTGTGTGTTAACTATGCCTTTCTTTAGGACTGTAAACACCTGTTGCTGGTGGTTTTGCTTAGCTTAAGAAACTGAGAGATAAGGTGAAAGGAATTTATACAGGGATATACTTTAGCATAAATGTGAGCCAACACATGGGCATCTATGTGTGTATATGTATGTATCTCACACATACACTAAGAAGATATATATTCATGAGTGTGAGCACACATCTTTGTTCTGAAGTAACTGCATGTACGACAGGGTGATACCAATTAGCTGTAAAACTTCATTTCTACATAGATCCTGTAAATTGCAGTCTTTGAAAGTTACCATAAATTATTATTTCTTTTTTCTTATATTAAAAAAAAACAAAACTGTGTCTTTCTGCTTTTGTTTTGATTTTTTTCTTTTTCTTTTGGCAAACAGATTTCCAGCATAAATTCACTGTGCAGGCTTCTCCAACGATGGATAAAAGGAAAAGCTTGATCAGTAGCTGCTCCAGTCCTCCTGCAAGTCCTACCATTATTCCCAGACTCAGGGCCATACAGTGTAAGGAGCTCAATGTAGTATTGAATTTGGGAAATGTGCAGTCTGTCAGCGTGGTAAGATGCCAAGATTCCATATCTAGGACAGGACTGTAAAAAAAATGTTCCTAAAATGTTTGCTTTGTGCCCTGCATGTATACATTTAGAGAGAAAACAAGCTGTGTTGGTGATGAGGGGGAGTATTACCTTCTCTGGAGCCCAAACCTTACTTAGCAATATTTCAAGATCTTGGGTGTTTGATTGTATAGAAAATACATTCCTTAGGTGTACAGGTTAATTTTTAAAACTACTAATTTGCAGAATATATCTGTGAAACATTATTGAGGTAGATTAAGTTACCATTGGAAGGAAAGAAAAACAAGGGTGGGCACTTGTCATGAAAACAGTGTTCCCATAACAAAACAGAATTAGGCAGACAAGCATGTATTAGAAGTATGAAAGGGATGTTAATTAATGTGTGGTGGTTGTATTGGATGTCATGACACTTGTGTGTCTGGTATCAAACTGGTGATTCTAAAAGAGAAACCAGTGATGGAATAAAGCTGTAAAGCCTATCTGTACTAATTTTGAAGGGATCTGGTTGTTAGATCGGTGTTGATAAATGGTCAGAATTATGGGAAAGAAGCCTGAATGGATGTTTTAATTACTATTCCTGTTCCAGCCTGTGTTTTGTTCTTTATGTTGCTGTGGAACCAATTCTTTAATTTGTATATCTGTTTTTTCTTTCTCATTTTCCACTATTCTTCCCACTTGTGAAGTGGCTCCTGCTGAAAGCAGTAAAACATGGGGACGAAGCTCAGTCCTTCCAAAGGAGGAAGGGGAGGAAGAAGAGAAGAGAGGCCAGAAGAAAAAGGGACGCACTTGGGGACCAAGCTCACTTTGTCACAAGGAGCTAGGTGCAGGAGAAGATGGGTAAGAGAGGGCCTGGCACCAAACTGGTTTCCAGGTTCTAAAACTGGTTATGAGCTGGCTCACAGGAGATTTGCCTATCCTGTTGCAAATGCTTTTATACTTCCAAACTTATTTGCTGTACCAGAGATATCAGAGGTTCAGAACAGATTACAGAACTGCATTGCATTCAGTCCCTTGCTAGAGGTCCAGCACTGACTGATGCTTTCACTGTCTGCTATTATTGTTACATCTATTTGTAAGCAGTAGAACTTAGCTGTGCAAAACTGTTTGTCTAGTAGCTTTTCTTTATTTTCAGGCTCAACTTTCCGTAGTTTCATATCACATCTGAAACTACTTGTCTTTTACAATTCTCAGCTATGCTTTTTCTTGTCTTAAATGCCATTATTTAAAAAGTATCTGGTAGAGCCAGGCAAATATCTTCTCTTCAGGCTTTTGAAAAGGACACATACCTTGAGTGAATACATTCTGAAAGTGATTTTTGCAGAGATACAGGTTGTACCTCTGTTTCTATAGATTCTTGTTCCGTGGCTTCTTTTTCTGTCTATGAATTATTTATACCAGGACTCCAATGGATCACTGCCAAAATGCTGCTTTAAACATAGGAGTATTTTGATCTTCGAAGAGGTTTGAATGCCTTGCGATTTTTAGTGGCATTTGAAGCTTTTTTCCCCTGCTAAATGGATACTTTGCCTCTTGCCATATTTTTTAGTAGGGGAAAATAAAATAACTGGTTATAATTTATCTTTAATATTATGTGCCTAGGTGTGAAATTCCTGGAAAACAGATGTTTACATAATGTATCACTGTTGCAGCCCTCTGCAAGAACACCTGGATCTAAGTGTTCTAATGCCATTAAAATATGTTCTCCCTCAGAGGCAGTCTTGACAGGTTAACAGGGCAATGTGGAGGAAGCTTCTTCAACTGTTGCCTATGCTTTACCTATTCTCTAGATGAAGTATAGCATTCTACAGAATTGAAACAGATGTCACACTTTACAATCATTAATTATATAGAAGGGCAGGAGATCACTGAAGCAGGTAGAAAAACACTTCTACCTTGAAATCATGTTGTTAGAATTCTGGGAATAAAGCTCTTCAGTCTTCTGTTTGCTACTGTGCAGTCTGAAGCGGTTGCTCTTAAAACTATCCTGTTCTCTCTACAACTGAGATGTTCTGTAGTATTCATCACCTTTTCCAGAGAGACAATACAGCTGTGGCATTTTGCAGAGTAACTGAAACACAGTAGTGTTGCTGAGAGGGCAGTATGGTTAACATACAATGAACTACTGCTTCTTATTGAGATCATGCCAGACTGCAGACTTTAAAGGAAGCAGAGTTGCAGTAAACATTTGTGACTCAAAAGATAGAGTGCTTGCTATTTTTAGTATTTAAGTCTAATTTTAGAGGGTAGGGGAATAAAAATTGGGGTAAAGTGAAGAGCTAAACGTAAGATAGAAGAGTCCAGTTCAAGTCGTCTTCGTGTCACTGTTCTGGTAGCAGCAGTGCTGCTATTCCAGCTGCTTACATGATGCTGTGATCAAGGGAACTTGTATCTCCATCTTTTTTATCACTTTTCCTCTGTTCTTCACAGGACGTAAGAGGTAATTCCAAATTTATGCAAGAATTACACTGTGGGAATTGCAGTGAAATTTGCTAGCATGAGTAAACTGACCTATAATTAACATCAAGTAAAGGCAATCATGAAAAGATTATACAGTGATTATTCATCCTTCTGCATTTATCTTTGAGCATAAGGAATATACACAGCAGCAGAAGGTTGCTTGGCTGAATTGCTGGGACTGGATGAAGCTTTATGTTGGACTGGTGTTGTGACAGTTCAGTTGTGATCTCATGGTATATTCTCAGGAATATATGGTGAAGTCCTAATTGTCTTTAAACTTGGCATTGATTAGTCTTAGACTGTTACTGTGACGTGGGTGATCTTTACCCTGTTTAAGTTTTCATGCTGGTGGTATTACTGATTTTATGGAAGTGACACTGGATGTGGGGTAGTCATAGTCCTTTAGCAGTTATCTCTTAAAATATTGTAAGCTAAATAGGGGGGAGCCTGGGAACAGACACTTTTTATTCATGACAGTGTTGTATTAATGCCTCAACATATTGTTACAGGATGATACTAAGACACAGGAGATGCCATCTTAAGTTATAGGAAAGTTTTTTGCAATTTGCTGAGCAGATAAGCCTTGTCACCTTATGACTCCTAAAGAGAGATGCTTTTTTGACTTCCCAATAGAAAAAGGGAACAGAGAAGTAACTCAACCGTAATACAACAAACAGAGTAATAACCTTCCTGTTATTTAATCTAAATAGATTACAGCCAAGAAGTGTCTAGGTTCCTGAATTGTCATGCTGGTGACTGAAATAGATAGTTTTGCTGCTAGTGCTTTCAAATCGTTCCACTTGCTCTTTCCTTGAACCAGTAACAGACAATACTGCTGTAGTAGGTATGTACTGTCAGCATGTTTTGAATTGTTTTCAAATGCACACTACTAGCTAATCAAGAGAATGTGCAGCTACCTTCTGCACAGGTCTTTGGGGTCTGTTTGTAATTTGGGGGGAGAGAGAGAAGGAGCAAAAAATAAAAGGGAAAGAAGATTTCATAACCCTGAGGCAAACGTAGCAGGCCTAGAAATTATTGTGGTAGCTATTTATCTTTCTGCTCAGACTGAGCTGTGCTTTGTCAGTAACGGCAAATCTTCAGCCTGTTTTTTGCAAGGGAAGATTGCTCTGAGAAGTCATAAGGAAGCAAACTAAGCTGATGTGTCCTGCTGTAGAATAAAGGGCAACTCCCAAGACACTTTAGATAACTATGACTGTAAAGTGAAGGCTAACCTGAAGATTACTGCTGCCTATCACTGACAACTTTGTTCTCTAAATACAGAGATAGCAGAGTATGTGTTTTCCTAGCTCCATCGAAATCTCACCTTCCTCAATAGTTGTCTACCCGTATTGTAAGAGCTTTGACATTTACTTTTGGAGGTGATCATACTGCTAACATGGTTTTCACTCACCAGCTTTCCCTTAATATACTGCTTTATTTATAGTATTTATCCGAACTGTGGATGTTGTACACATGGGTAATTTAGATACAACATATATTATTTGGTGGATTGTGTTATATAGCTGAGTATAGTATGGAGGGAGTAAATCAGACCCATACACTGAATTGCATCTCTGAGGTAAAACCATGTGGTTGTCTGTCTTACAAGTAGGATTCAGCACTGTGCTGACTGGATTCAGGTTCATAGCAGGATACTGCATGTGCCGGAATGGTTAGTGGGAGGAAAATGATGGACTTTCAAGGCAGTTGAGAACTGCACAGGATACTTCTAGTGTAATGCCTAATAGCATGATCATCAACTAACTGAACATGTGATGAATCAAGTTTAGACCTTGTGACCTTGCTATAGCAATACAGTTTGGTGACAAGTAGGGCATCCCAGTTAGGTAGAGAACACAGGAAAAACACATACCAAGGTGCAAAAAAAAAAAAAGGTATAATAAAACTTTGAAATCCTGCAGTGGAAGCCATCTTAGAAATGCAGAGTGATTCTGGTGGAAAATAAGAATCATGAGAGAGAACTTCTATATGCTCATATCCTTCTTTCCCTGTAAGGGAAGGATTGTGATGAATTTTGTGTCTTATCAAACAAAAATGCAAGTTTGTAATGGAGCTGGAAGAAGTCTCACCTCCTAAGTTTTCTGTTGTTTCAATAACGAGTTGGTGCTCTTGTGTGTCCAGTTGAGAATTCAGACTATCCACAGATCTTTTTACTCCTTTCAATTTCTGTTTATCCTAAGTTTATGTTAGCTTTTCACCAACACTATGATGTGTTTCATGTTGGAGTTTGTGGAAAGGGATCAGAAGTCTTCTGGTTCAGACTATATTGATAACTGAGCAATAAAACTTTGCTGAATGTTGATATGTCAGAAAGTTGTGCTGCTTACTAAAGTTGTTTCTGATGCCATGAAAGTACTGCAGGGAACAAATAGGATGATGGTAAGGAATACTTAGGAATAGGGACTACTACTAAACTCAGGTTCCTGGTGACATACCTTTAAACGAAGATAACATCAAAGTAGGGGTTTGGTTTTGGGTTTTTCACTTGTTTGTTTTAGTGGGTTTTGCAGTATTTTTTCTGTCATTAAAAGAAACAATGACATGATTTATGATTTTAGTTACCTGTTTTTCCATAATCTAGAACTTAAGCTTTTAACTGTCTGTACTTCATGCAGTGTTTTCTTTAGAGGAGAAATACTGGGGTTTATAATATAGAGGCATGACTTCACTGTGTCCTGGTTTCAGCTGGGATAGAGTTAATTGTCTTCCTAGTAGCTGGTACAGTGCTATGTTTTGAGTTCAGTATGTGAAGAATGTTGATAACACACTGATGTTTTCAGTTGTTGCTAAGTAATGTTTAGTCTAAAGTCAAGGATTTTTCAGCTTCTCATGCCCAGCCAGCAAGAAAGCTGGAGGGGCACAAGAAGTTGGCACAGGACACAGCCAGGGCAGCTGACCCAAACTGGCCAACGGGGTATTCCATACCATGGGATGTCACATCTAGTATAGAAACTGGGGGGAGCGGGGGTGGGGGAATCACTGCTCGGGGACTAACTGGGCATCAATCAGCGGGTGGTGAGTAATTGCACTGTGCATCATTTGTACATTCCAATCCTTTTATTATTGATGTTGTCATTTTATTAGTGTTATCATTATCATTATTAGTTTCTTCTTTTCTGTTCTATTAAACCGTTCTTATCTCAACCCACGAGTTTTACTTCTTTTCCCGATTTTCTCCCCCATCCCACTAGGTGGGGGGGGAGTGACTGAGTGGCTGCATGGTGCTTAGTTGCTGGCTGGGGTTAAACCACGACACACTGTTACAATGACTTTAGCATGTTATTGTCCCAGTGAGTGATCTTTGACTTCCGTTGTTCATTTGTATTTCACATGGAAATGTTTTTGGAGACATTTTTCCCCTCTTCCTGCTGAGCACTTTATTTTTTACATGCCATAGTAGGTTTGCCTTGGTTTAAAAAGAAAATGTTTTGTCTGATTTTTGTAGTGGTGCTTTCTACTATTCTGCGTTCATAGCAGTTGGTTATCAGCAGAGGTTTTTTGACTGCCATGGTGTAACAAATGAGGGAGGGACTTGTTGACTTTTTTTGTATTTTAAGGTGCTGTAAAGATGTTGTAAAATGTCTTGCTATGAGAGGACTTCAAATCCATGTAATTAAAATGGATACGTGCATTCCCTAAGTACATTTTTCTCCCATCTTTCTACTATTTCAGTCTGAAAGCTCTGGTAGAAGGATACAAACAGTGGTCATCCAGTGCACCGAACCTTGGGAAGATCCAGAGAACTGCGCCTGCTTTTCCAGGATTCACCAGCTTAGCAGAGATGGGTAAAGGAATTCCCTGGCCTTCATATTCTCATCCCCACTTCCATTTATATTTGAATGAACTCTCCTTTCCTGACCTTCACCTGGTGCTTTACAGCAATGGTTTCATTTTCATCGTGTCTGTTTTTCTTTTATTCTTTGTGAAGTAACTACTTTCTTCTTCTGGATTTTCTTTTTGTTCACACCTCTGCTTGTGCTTCTTATCTGTCAAGCTAACGAGCTTTGCTCAATTCTCCTCTAGCTCCATGCTACCTCTCAGCTCCTTTTCTGTTAATCGTGTTTACATGTGCAGCATGGTTACACCTTCACTTGCAAGAAGAAATCCTTATAATTTTCCTACCTTTTGCTCCTTGCTCCCAAACATATAAATTTACTCTAGAAGTAGCTGAGGTGTAGATTGCTTCTGAAATACCATTCTGCAATTGATCCCAAATAGATTAATGTGTCACTAATTTCTTCCATTTTGATAGTGTTTCCAGTTACTTGTCTCAGCCTATCAGCTTTGGAGACAATAGTCTGTGAGTATTTGGCAATTGGTGAATGATGCTTGCGATGAGGACAGTTGCATCTTCTGAGGAGAAGCTTATTTTCATATATACTTGTAAGACAGTTAAATTTTGCCAGTGAAAATGTTACATCCATGCAAAGTCCATTTTCATTTGCTTTCCAGATGATGAAGACAGCGAATGTCTGAATGGGGAGGGCAAAGTGCACCCTTCACCTGGCCACAATCAGTCATACCTCTGCATCCCATTTCAGAAGAACGAAGACTGGGATGGCCCTTCTAGTGATGCCAATGAGGAGTCCACCCCTGTGAACTCTGCTACTAGTACCCCACAGCTGACACCCACCAACAGCCTCAAACGCAGCGGCTCCCACCACAAGCGATGTGAGGTTGCATTGCTTAGCTGTGGAGCAGTGCTGGCTGCTGCAGGCCTGGGTTTTGATCTGTTAGAAGCAGGGAAGTGTCAGCTGCTGATTGAGGAGGAGCCAGAGGTGCCCAAGGAGGAGAAGAAGAAACGTGACAGCATCTTCCAGCGAGCTGGACGCCCACGCAGGAGCACTAGTCCACCTTCACGAAAGATCTTCAAGAAAGAGGATCCCATGTTGTTGCTAGGCGAGCCATCCACATCCCTCACCCTTCTTTCCCTGTCTTCCATTTCCGAATGTAATTCCACCCGGTCCCTGCTGCGCTCAGACAGTGATGAGATTGTGGTGTATGAAATGCCTGTCAGCCCAGTGACAGTCAAGGCTCCCTTGCCAGCCATTACCAACCCACTAGTCAATGTCCAGATCGAGAGGTTCAAACAAGACCCCAATCAGTCCCTGACTCCCACACATGTGACAGTCTCTTCCCACACCCAGCAAAGCGGGCACAGGCGCACACCTTCTGATGGGGCCATCAAAGGGAGTGGACTAGTTGTCAATGGGTGCCCAACCAGTGGATGCCCTTCCAGTAGCTGTTTAACTGGAGCACTGGGAGCAGGTAGGTTTTCAGCCATCTTCCTTTTCCTCTTCAGAATAAAGACCCAAACAGTATAATTACTTGTTGGGAAGTAAATATGTTGCTTATTCAGCATCCATTGTGATGGCCAGCCCACAAGAGGAGCTTATGGATGCTATCTGTACACAAATAATGAAGAGAATAATGCAGTAATGGTCTGCATGGTTCCAGCATCTCTGTGCTAAGGAGCTCTCTCTGCTCCCCTGTGCTCTGTGGCAGAGCATATTATTGTTTCTTAGACAAAGATGGTACCAAAGTACATATATGGCACATTTTTAGCAGGTCTTCGCATTCCATCTCCATTGCCTTTATACGCTTTGTTTGTATTGCTGTTACAATTTCAAAGGAAATTCTCATTTTTAAGGCAGTGAAAACTGGATCTCTAAAGCAGTTTGGGGCTGTGCCACTGTTGCTCTTACTTCTTTGTAAGCAAGAGGGATCTTCCTGGGTAGGTAGTGTTCTCACCATTGCAGTCTTTAGGAGTGGCTGTGACTTGATAACTTAAAAAATGCTTTCCTGTTTTCTTGCCTTAGTAATTCAGAGAAAAAAGGACTAGAATAATAAATTAAAATCTGATTTAATTAGACTTTTCCCAATGGTAAAACAAAATGTGAGGTTGTTGAACGGCAGTCTGCAGTAAAATGTAGGTTAATGCAGCTGAGAATACTCATTAAAATGGTATTCGTGAAAATTTAAAATTTATGTTGCATTTAAAAAACAAACCCCACCCTACCCTTAAATGAAAACAAACCAGGAAGCATCTGCTGTAGGCAGTGATAAATGGCTCTTCCAGGAAGTTGGTCCTGCTTGCTGCAAACATGTGTCATGTATCCTGCTGTGCAAGTGTCTCCCTGATCCATTCAAGCTGTTAATGGGTAATGTGCCCTCCAAAGGATTTGGAGAGTCCTCACCTCTGGTGGGAGGTCAAATCCATGCTCTCCAGTCTGAAAGTTGAAGAAAGCAAATGAGAGAACGAACAAAACTTGCTGCTTGTGCTAGGTCAGTGAAACAGTTGTCTTGCAATGGGTTGAGGACAGTGTAGGGATAAAGAAGCCAGTTATTCACTTCAGATTGGTGTAATCTTGAAGACATGGAATTTTTAGATTCTGAATGGAGGCTTTCTGCTTTGAAAATGTTTTCACGGTTTATATACAATAAACTAAGATCTGTTGGAACCATTTAGCAGTGACATCTAACATGTTTCCCTCTTCTCTTACATTCTCTGTTTTGGATAGGTGTGTTAAAAACACCTAGTCCAAGTAGAGATCCCAATGAGGTCCCTCGCCTGCCAGACCCCAACCTTGTTTTTCCTCCAACCCCGAGACGATGGAATGCACAGCAGGACTCCACACTGGAAAGACCCAAGACATTGGAGTTCCTGCCCCGGCCACGTCCTGCAGCCAGTCGGCAGCGGCTTGATCCCTGGTGGTTTGTGTCACCCAGCAATGCCAAGGGTGAATCTTCTGCCAACAGTTCAAGTACTGATACTCCAAGCAATCTGGACTCTTGTTTTGCTAGTAGCAGCAGCACTGTAGAAGAGAGACCTGGACTGCCTGCACTGCTTCCTTTCCAGGTGGGTCTTCCTGTAGAGGAGCGGACACTGTTGGACATAGATGCTGAGGGGCAGAGCCAGGACAGCACCATTCCGCTATGCAGAAGTGAACTTAACACACACAAAGCTGCAGCATATGAACTCAAGCAAGAATTCTGGTCTTAGTATGAAATCTGCTGGGGACAGTGAGCCCCTCTAAATTCAATCCTACTTATTGCACTGAGAATGCACTTTGAAGACAGATGAGATGGAGGGATGCTACAGAGATCATACGGTGCTGCCTCTGCTGAAGATGTGTTGTTCGACTGCCTGATTTTTTGTCTGCAGTTGGATGAAACTTGACAACTCTGAGCTGCTGACTTTTGCTGTGGGGTTTTTCTGTAGTCTTCCCTGCCCTTTTATTGCAGTTTGAATCTGCAATGAGCTAAAATTATCATATCAAAGTCTTTGTTACTGACCTTGTAGGATTTGGCACTTGCAGTAAGTATATTGGTATCTATCCTGGTATTAATCAGTATTTTCAAAACTCGAATATTACACTACAGCAGACACCAGTGTTGTTTGTTTTCCCAAGGAATCCAGGACAGAAGCAAGTAAATATCTGGAGACTACCTTCTCTGAAATGTATTCAGATCATTAGATAGGCCTGGGAATGATGGTACCCCCACTGAAGGAGCAGAAGTAGCTATCTTGGACTCACTTGTCCTCTTTTGCTCATGTGATAGTGCAAGGTGGAACAGATTGCAGAGGAAGGGCATGGCATCTCCACTGATGGAGGTCTTTGAGAACAGACTAACCAGACTGTTGGGAATGAGTAGGTGTAGTTGATCCTGGCTTCAAGACAGGTTGGATGGACTTCAATGATCTCTTGAGGTCCCTCTCAGCCCTATTTTTCTATGACCCTGTGCTTTCAAAAAGATGAAGGCTTATGGTATGGCTGTTTGCTCTTAGCTTGCTTTTTTGTTTCAGACTTCGGTTCCATCAGCTTCCCTTTCCCATTCCCTGTACCCCAGGCTCATAGTCGAGCTGTCTCTGCTTTGGGAAGGGAATTAGCAGCCACTCTTTCTTTAAAGCTGTGTTGGCTTGCAGCAGTAACTTATGTGTCCCCTTGCTCTTTTTCTTCCTGTTCTTTCTCCTTTCTTACGCTTTTTAGGAGCGGCCCTTGAAACCCAAGACTGTTCTTATGCACACTGATACCTGTTTAAGGTTCTTTTGAAATTGAGGCTTGTTAGTAGTTGGATTGTGCAAACAGGAATCAGAACATCTGGATTCTATTTTGTTTTGTCACTGACTCACTGTGTGACCTTGGGCAAATAATGTAACCTCTGTGCCTGAATTTCCCCATCTGTAAATAATAGGAATAATACCTACCTCACAGGGGGAGGGGTTGGGACATATGTTATAGGTATAAAGTCCTTTGAGATCTTTGAGTGAAAGGCACTATAGACATGTAAAACTCTATTCTTGTCCAAATATGTAAAAACTCCTAACTCTGGAGCAAGAACAGACCCCTGTCTTGAAGGAAGAAGTCACACAAATAGGGTGTGCCTATGCTCACACTTTTCTGTACAGAGACTGCAGGTGTGTCTGCATCTGCAGGTATATCTTACTGGCTTTAATGAGAGCTTCACTCTTCCCCAGTTTTGGCATTATAAATAAGGGATGTGGCCTTTATATGAGTGTAATAGGGTAGTCTGCTTTATTGCAGGGTACAGCATATCTGTTCACTCTTTTTGTACAGATCTGTGCTCATTTTGCTAATCTACTGACCATTTGGGTGCAAGTAACTGATTTGACAGTGCTGCCAACGCAGTGCTCAACCTGTTAGGGCAGTCCAGTCCTGTTGTGAAGGCAGTGTAGCCGAATACTTTCTCGCAGCTGTTAGCACAGAGAACCTGTGTGTTTAGATGTTTGTAACCTGACGTGAAAAACCAGCATGTGTGAGGAAGTACTGTACGTAAGGGTTTTTTAATTCTGTTTGAGGGCTAAAACTAGCATGTTGCCATTAGTCAAGTGCACCCTTTTTTCCAAGCAATTCTGGTATGTTTTCATTTAGAAAGGTCACACATTTCTTGTTTATCATATTCCATGAAATGTGTTTAATGGCAGAATTACCTTTTGCTGCCTCCCCCATTGAATGCTCCAGAGCTAAACTTAATGATGCTACACTAGCTGCTGAAGCTGGACAGACTGTTGACTGGGTAGGCAAGGTATTCTGATGTGGGGCTAAGGTACTTTAAAAAGAACTTACACTTCTGACACTTTTGTTAAACGTGGACTTTTAGCATTACTGATTTCTTAAGCGTTCATCCCTTTTGCTTTCTGTTTTTTGTGATCCAGAAACTAAAAGAAAAAAAAGGTAAACCCCGCCTAAACAGATGGTTAATTTCAATTGTGGTATAGAAACAAACTCAAGGAAAGTCCAGTCAGAGGCTGTGTCACAGGCACTTAAAAGCAGGAGATTAAAACTATCTATATTTCATAGTCTCCCTTACCATTTTAAAAAGTCTGAAACAAAACTGGATCAGCTGTTCTGAAATGTAATGTTTTCTATCCAAAAAGTATTATTACAAATGTCATAGGAAGCATCATCTGCTCTGCGAAGTTATTACCTGGAATAGCTCCATTTGAATAGAGATTTTTGAAATCCATTTCCTTGCATGGAATGGGAGGTTACCTTTCTAGGTCACATTGTTTTAACTGAGCCCACTAAACTTCCTGATAGTTGGCCAGTTGCTTTCACCAAATGATCTGTAAGGTTTCTGTCAAGTTCCCAGCAGGCAAGACAGCTGTAAAGCCAAGTTGTTCTTTTGCTTAGGAAAGTTGAGGATGGAGTATCAAAACCCTTTCCCCCTCTCTCCCTTTTAGATAATCACTTGGTGACAGTGGTGTGTAGCTGACCTATTAGAAGTATTTTGCTCTGAAGAGCATCTTCCCTAACACCAAATGGAAATTGCTACATCAAAGGACCTGGGTAGGACAGACGACAGGGAGTCAAGGGTCCAGATCAGGGTTTTCAATCTAGATATTTTCTATTATGAAGCTGGCAGAAAGACTACGCAGAAGCATAATATTTGGTGTTTGTTTTCTTTAAACACTCCTTGGATGCAATTGTCTTAGTGGAATCTAGCATGGAAATAAAATGAGGTAGTCTGAGCGTCAACCCATAACTGTCTTCCAGTTGGGAGCCCTGTGGCTAACCTGAGGTATCAGGCAAGAGGAGTCTGTTGTAGAAACAAAACTATTGGCTTTAGCCGGTTGTGGGCTATTCTTTGACAGGCAGAGTGGGTTCTCAAAGCATAGAGTTGTCAGATGTTTTACCTTATGCATCTGCAAATGGTGTCCGGAGGCCCAGGGGCTATGTGCATGTTTAAGCTAGATCATAACCTCTCCCTATACCCATCTATCCCATCCTGGCTTGATTTCTCTTCTTTTGTTAATCTGTTGGGTTTTTTCCTTCCCAGTTGTGGGAGCTGAAGTGCTCCAAATCTCCAAAGGAGTGCTTCACTTTAGTCCACTAGATACTGAGAAGATATGAGCCTGTCATCTCACAAATCTTTTTTTTTTTTTTTTTTTTTTTACTGGTTACTAGTATTCCCATTTATCAGGGAGATAAAAAATTCAGAATATTGTTGATTTGACATACCTTTCTAGCAGTGTTCTTGAGGAAGATGGTGAAAATATTGCTATAAAAAAAATCTAATAAATGTATTGTTTCCTAAATATCTGAATAAGTTGCACTTTTTTTTTCCTGAGAAAAAGAGAACATGAGAGCAAAAAATCCCTGAGCAGTCTAGAATATAATGACAAAAGAATGGGGTAAAATGTGTTACAGTAATTACAGGGCTCACAAAGAGGAAGTGACAAATTTTTTAACTGATAGTAATAGTAGTAAGATTGTTGCTGAGAGAAATTTTTCTGGTCTAGAAATATCTATGTATTTTCTTTTAAATAGTCAGCTGGCAGTATATATCACTAATTTATATAACAGATGTGCTGATTTAGGAAATAGAAAAAAGTTTGCCAGCCCTTCAAAATACGCTATCCTTGTAGCCTGTTTGTTTTTCCTGTAAAACTAGGGGGGAAAGCACAGAGATAGCAACCAGTGCAAAAAATCACAAATTTTTTGATAAATTTCTGCTGGTTTCACAGAAAGTGAGTGTGGGACAGGTAGAGAGAAGAAAGCTTTTGTGTCAAAACTAGGGTGATAATAGTTATGGGGTTTTTTTTCTAATGCTGTTACTTCCTATGGACTGTACAATGCTCTGTTCTGCCAGCAAGTATGTCTTACCTCCTTTCAATCCTTTTCAGAGGTGCAAATGTAACTTTTTATAGGTATTTTTTTTCCTTCAGGTTATTATTACAATGGGTTGATATTCAGTATGGGGCAGGGAACCTCAGTGAAAATATTCTTTTTGTAACGGTTTTCTAACAAAATGAGTATTTTCAAAGTGAATTTTTCATTATTGATGTGGAAAGATCTGTTCTGATTTGGCATGCTTTTATGATGAAGTATTTTTCTGTACCTCTAGGAATGGGAGTAGCTGCCTCCCTCTTCATAGCATGCTGTTATCTTAAGACTTTATGGACAATACTGCATAGAGATGTTACTTCGATATTGCCATGAAACCGGATACTTCTCATTCTGTTGAAGGTGAGGCAGTAATGGTCAAGTAAAGAAAGGTTTTTGCCATCTGGAGTGTTCTGTTAAATACCAAATCACAGGAAACCTCCCATCTTGAGTCACCTTTCTATCTTGAGCTTAACTTTTATTTGAAACTTAATTCATCTCTGTGGGATGAATATGGAAGCTGGAGTCCCATTAGATGTATGGAACCAAATCTAATACTGTATCCCAAAATTCAGTGATAGGCTGTTACTTTTGTAAGTAATTTTAGGCTAATATTAATGGGTTTGTTTCTTTGGGGTTTTTTTTGAAACCTTTCTTCTTGGAAAAAGTGCTTATTGCTTTCTAACCTTTTCCACACATTTTGGAAATAGTCTCAAGAACTCTTACCAACTGTATGGCAAATAAGGAGGCTTATATCTTGCGTAGTGATACAGGTCTTCCTTTTGGCTTCACTTTTTTAGTATGAAACAAGGACGCTTATGTTTAGCAATGAAGATTTCTGATCCTTATCCTGTTGCTGCAGAACAGTTTCTTA